TTTTTACCTGTATTTTTTAAATGTGATTGTGATTGTGTGTTCTTCATCAAGAGTTCTGTTTCTAGGATACGATAATTTCTATTTTATATCTAGAGAGAAACATGAACTTTTAACAAATTATATTTTAAAGTATTTAATTTATTCCTATTTAAAATTGTAATACATTATTATTAAATTATTAGTGAGGTTCTTAACTTGCCTTTTATATTTTTAAAATGTAGTAAATGTGTATAGAGAAGTGATAGGGAAGAAATGTGTCTAATATCTGATGTCTGCCTGAAGATGTTTTGAGAGAACAGTTTTAAATAAAACATTCTGTAACAAATGTACCTACTATCTGTACTTTTCAAGGTCCAGATGTGACTTCAGTCTTTTATATGAATGTTTGTCCTTAAATATAGCTTGATGACGGTGATGAGTTGTATGGCATTATGTAATTCATATGGGCTAACATTTCTGTGTATAATTTCATTGTTCTAGGGTTATGAGAGAATTTATAATGAAATTCCAGACATTAATCTGGATGTCCCACATTCATACTCTGTGCTTGAGCGGTTTGTAGAAGAATGTTTTCAGGCTGGAATAATTTCCAAACAACTCAGAGATCTTTGTCCTTCAAGGTACTTTATTACTTTCTCAACATAGGTGCATGGGAAGGCTAAGTTAATTTTCTGTCATTCTGAGCTGTCAGAAAAATAATAATATCTTCCCTGAAGTCACCCAAGAGTGAAAATCATCTGTTTTAAGTTTATGGAGAAAAAAGGGCAGAGCTTATTTTGTCCCTTGTAAATCCATACAGGACTACCTCATGAAGCCACTGGAAGGGAACTAAATTTTTTTTAAAGATTTTTATTGGGGAATTGGGGGATGGGAACAGCGCTGGGGAATTGGGGAAGGGGAACAGACAAGTTGCTGTCCTTTTGTTCGTCAGTCTAGTTGTGGAGGACGTTGCTTCACTGGCCCAAGTTGGCACCATCATTGCACTCTTCCTGGGAGAGACAGATCAGTTGCCAGCTTCTGGACGGCCGCTCACGCTGGCTGCTGGCTACACATGGTAGCTCATGGCAACCCACTGCAGCAGGTGCTGCAGCCTACGCCCGCCGTCGCAGGCGACTCAAGGCAGCCCAGCTCCAGGTTGAGCTGTTGTTCAGCATCTTAGCTGTAGAGGGCAGTGTCACTGGCCCTCATATGTGGGATCCAAACTGGGGTCCTCTGGCATCCCAAGCCAGCTCTTAACCAATGCGCCATTCAGCTGGCTCGGGAACGAATTTTGTGGAGCAGTTCTGTGTATCAGGCTCTGTTCTGAGTAGTTTAAATATTATTTCAGTGTAAATATTATCACAAATAAGATGAGAAAATTGAGGCTTAGGGAGCTGTAATGTACCTTTTCTAAGGTCATAGATGGTAGAGGCCTTGCAAGGATGATTCCAGAATTTCTGGCTTCAAAGAACTAGGCTCATTCTTGTATTCTACATTGCTTCCTTTTGCTCCATAGAATGGAGAATTGGGGCTAATTGGATCTTAATCTGATTGAGAGCGAGCGAGCGAGAAAGAGAGAGAGAGAGAGAGAGAGAGAGAGAGAGAGAGAGAGAGAGAGAGAGATTGATTGATTCTTTGGAGTTATTTGTGCTACTAGGATCTAACTCTTTAGTAGTTGATGAATTTTTTTGTTAAAACTTATGATGTAATATGAGGTGTGATCAAAAGATACAGATGTTTAAATTTAAAAAAATTATTATAGTAAAAGACATACTGCCATTAATCCCCCTCAAAATACTCCCCTTACTTCAAACACACCCCATTGTTCTTGCCACTTTCTGAAGCAGTTCTGGAAGTCCTCTTTTGTGAGTGTCTTTACTTCATCCTTCATCATTACAACGCTCCATGTCGCTCCGTGTCACACATAGCTTCTAGTACAGCACTTTCTGTCAAATGAAAACATTATGGTGTGTCCTCATCTACCTTATTCACTGGATCTGGCACTGTGGGACTTACAGCTCTTTCCCAAATTCAAAATGGCCATGAAAGGAAAACTATTTGTTATCGATTCAGGACATTGAGGCAGCCATGACAGCACAATTAAAGACACTCATGAAAGAGGACTTCCAAAACTGCTTCAGAAAGTGGCAAGAGCAATGCGATGTTTTTGACGCAAGGGGGCGTATTTTGAGGGGGATTAATGGTAATGTATCTTTTACTGTAATAAATCTTTTTAAATTTAAACATTCACTTTTTTTATCACACCTCATAGGTATAAAAATTTAGTAATAGCTAAACTTCTTATGTGGATCTGTTATGTACGTTTTAAATTTTTTGCAATTTTTATCAAAAAATTTCTAAGTTCTTTGTATTTTTATTTGTGTATTGTGAGTTTTAAATCTCAGAAAAATACTTCCTGGTAGTGTCCCTTTGCTCTATAAAGTAGAAGCCATTAAGAGAGAAGGAAGGGATAATGGTGGAAGATAAAAGTTTAATGGCTTTGATAAAAATGTTTAAAAATGTAGATTTCTACTTGGTGACGGTACCCTTTATGTACCTGATGTGCTAAGTGGTATAAGTCAGTAAAAACTGTCAACTTTCGCAAGATTTCTTGTGACTTACTACTTTGTTCCCTACTTTGGTCTCCTAATATAGTCTGTGACTTTAAGTTCATGAAAATATAGCTGGTTTCCATTTAGACTTAGTATGAAAATGGGTCAGCACCTTGGCACTGGCTTTTAAAGTTTTTCCGCCTCTGTTCAAAGGGCTAACTGGTTATCTTTATTGTGACTTTACTCTCAAGTATCATTTCAGGAGACACCTAAACTTTCTGTGTATACTATAGAACTTTGACTTTTTACTCTCTATCCTGCTTATTTGGGTGAAGTGCACATTTGTATGTAGTCTCAAATGCCTGTGAATGTTGGTCTAGGGTCAGAATAAGGACTCATTCTGCCCAAGCTCTCTTTCCCACTTACTGCTGTCGTTTGCTGGTCAACTATTCCTTCTGGGCTGTTGCTGTAGCTAGAGTGTGGTTACAGTACAGAGCAAGTCTGCTTGAGTTTGAAATAGCTGGAATCCCCAAAATGAGGCATAGACTGGAATTAATTGGATTCTGATTTATTTTTCTATATTCAGGTTATGGCTTTTTTACATCTGATTTTTTTTTTTTAATTTTAAACATGGATAATTTGATAGGTTCTGTAGCTCTAGTTTACATAATTCCAAATTATGTTGTTTCCTATTTGTCTCACTGTTTAGCTTTCAAATAATATTAATAACAAATAAATATTAAATTTCTAAATAGCAAATGTTTGTCTCATTTATATTTTAACTTTTTAATATTTGGACAATGGAGTTATTTCAGTAAGCTTTTATTCAACTAAAACCTACTCAGATTAACAGTTCATTTGATATGCCATATCTTAGGATATATAGCAGGGAAAGAGTCTTTTTGAAAAGATTTAGAGGCATACTGATTTTTTTTTTTTAAACAATAAAACCCTTCAAAACTTAATAACTAGGAAATACCAAACTTGTAATTTTTAAAATGGACTATAGTCAGAATTTATATCTGTTTTCATGTTTATGTTTTTTGTATTACAGGGGCAGAAAACGTTTTGTAAGTGAAGGAGATGGAGGTCGTCTTAAACCAGAGAGCTACTGAATATAAGAACTCTTGCAGTCTTAGATGTTATAAAAATACATATATCTGAATTGTAAGAGTTGTTAGCACAGGTGTTTTTTTTTGTTTTTTAAGCACTTGTTTGGGTACAAGGCATTTCTGAAATTTACATTTAAGGGGAATTTTTAAAGGAAGTGTTTGGTTTTTTTTTTGTTTTTTTTTGAGGGTATAAAGAAGGGACAGAAAAGGAACCACTTCTTAAGTGGAATATTCTCATAAGCTACCTTTTGTAAGTGCCATGTTTATGACCTAATCATTCCAAGTTTTGCATTGATGTCTGACTGCCACTCCTTTCTTTCAAGGACAGTGTTTTTGTAGTAAAATCACTGGTTGATACAAAGCTTTATTTAGGGGGTCAAGTTAAGCTGCTAAAACCCCATGTTGGCTGCTGCTGTTGAAATACTGTGCTTTGGGAGTAAAAAAAAAAAAGTTATTTCTTTGTCTTAAAGAATTTTAAGAAAATGAGTCAGTCATGAGACTTATTCATCTTTCCAGGGAACATACTGATTGGTCTTAAAGACTAGACAGTTAAGTAAGTGGTGGCTGGAACATCTATTTTTCTACAAAACTGGAAAAATGAACCTGGTTCTAGAAGAATGTGTGACAAAATAAAACATGTGAAGCAGTGTTGATTCTTTATTGGGAGTACATTTATTTTAGTTTTTTTAAAAATTATTTTGCACAGTAAATTTTAAATCACATAAGGGAGCATATTTGAACCTAGTGAATTTAAACTTTGTTTCTTACAAATGTTTCTTTTAAATCCAAAGTACAATAGTAAATAATATCTTTTAATATTATACTTGGGAAATACATGTACACTTCCTTGTTTTTTGATTTTTATAGCTTAATGAAATTTCTAAAAAATCTATATTACCTTTCATCATTCTTAAGTTCTATTACTGAATGTTTGTGTTATAAAAAATTATTCTTCAAAGACTCAAAATTTTTACATTTATTCAGTGTCTGAATAGTAGCTGCCAATAAATAACAATTATGTAAAGAATGATCATATTTCTAACCTCTTTTGCAGATCCTTAATTTCTCAATAAGGCTTAAGGTCTATGCTAATTTAAATTATCTGTTATTTACTGCAGCAAACCAACCAAGAATTATATTCAGAATTTACAAAGGTATTCTTAGGATTATACCTATTGCAGATTTAAGTACAGTCTTTCTGAATTAAAACCACAAATTGTTCATATTTACCTCATGGGCTCTTTGAAGTCCATATATACTCTCCATTTTTAGGGTTTTAATTGTGTTTGATATCTAGATAATTAAGGTAGCCAGTAATTCGTTAAGTCCTTAAAATCAGTATAATTAAAAGCTCAGGTGAGGGTTTCTTAAAAATGGAATTTATTTTAAGAAATACAGTTTTGTCATTACTGGTAGGATCATTTGGTCAAGCAAGATAGCCTTAAACATGACATGACACAAAATTCTTAAGAAAGTTTTACAATTAGGTAATGTAAAAGCCCAGCATGAACACTTAACACAAGACTAGAATATATCTTCAAATTCAGGTTTTAATAAACATGTAAAGATTCTCTGAATATAAAAGTTGCATTTAATCACTTGTGCCTAAGGATGTTATCTATAAAACTGATAGTAATAGGAATGGAGAACAGTAATTTGCAGTTCTAAAAAACGGGGTAAAAAACCCCATAAAATTTGGGTTCACAGTTTTTTTATTACTTCAATACAAACCAGAGTGTTGAAATTCACAATACAAGTTTCATTGGTCTTGGGTATTTTTATATTATTTATATGAAAACTATCAGTTTTATTAACACATACTACTTTCAGCCACACAGATTTACTAGCTATTAATAGTAAGTAAGGTAGGGTGTTACATAGAAGTGCCAAGTTATCAGTGAGTTATTTGCTGCTGTTCCTTTTCTGCCATTTCTTGTTGGCGAATTGTATCATTTGCTGCTTGCTGCATTTTCTCCAGTTTTTCCAGAGTCAGAGATTTTAAGGGTAAAAGTTTGGGTTTACACAGCACCATTGTGGTTATATCTTCCACAGACAACTGTCCTAAATTAAAAGAAAAAAATTAATTTGAGATAATCCAGTTTGGATTTTCAGGTAGAATGAAGGTCTAAAAACTTAATCCATTGTAAATGAAAATCTATTCTCATAGTTAACCCCTGTAACATTTCTTTAATATATATATAAAAAAAAATCAGCATTTAATACTAGGGAGTTCATGAGGAAGACAAGTTTTGAACTTTCTACTTATGATTCTAAGCTACCATGAGACACACAACTTTTTGTGTCAAATGTTTAATTTAAAAAAAGATTTGGGAGAAATTCACAGTCCCTGAAAATACTTATTATAGTAAAATATGGTATTCATTTAACATGAATATTCAGATTACTGAATGTTTAATTGAAACCTTCAGCATTTCTTACTATTGCTTGATTTAGGTTTCTTTTCCCCCACTTTCAGACCTTATTAAATATGGTGAACTACAGTGCTCTTTTTTTTATTGAAAATTTGATCTTGTAATCTGCAATCTTGAGTATAACAACAGGATTTCTAGGTTTGAGAAACTGCTTCATTTGTCGTACTTTTACTGGGAAAAAGCAATGAATTACTCCTTTACAACCTACTTTTGAAAGTAACATAGTAGAAACGGACAGTAAATGGGATATAAGACAAAATAGTTTAAAGTTGTCAAATGCTAACAAATACTGTAGACATGCACCACTTCATGATGGGTAGACAATCAGAAATGCATTGTAGGTGATTTCATCATTGTGCAAGCATGATAGAGCGTGGTTACACAAACCTATATGGTATAGCCTACTACCGTCCAAAGTGGACAGCATGTTACTGTACTGAAGACTGTAGGCAATAGTAACTAACAATGGTGGTTTGTATCTAAACAGAACTGCTTATTACTTTTTAGGTCCCTATTATGATCTAAGTATTTGTGATTTAAATACCTTGTTTTGGAAGAACTTCCCGGAATACGAACTTCACTTCTGCCATATCTGAATTGTTGGATACAGTTTTTCCCTTAAATGAGAAATCAATTATTAGTATTACTCAAGAATGGGTTCCCAAAGCATATTGCTTGAGACATTTCCATTGTAGTTAAGAAGTAAAATCACAATTCCTATAAAAAAATGAATTATCCTTGTATAATTTCCCCCTCAATTTCCTGTGGGTCTTTACATTGAAACAAGGTTGAGATAGTCCACATAAACATCTAACTCTTTGTCAACTTTTGTTAATCGGTGGTGGTAATTGAAAGGCTTCATATTCTAAAATTTTCCCCCTCCTAGTGAAAAATTGGTAAGGCTTGTTTTTAGACAAAGATAATGATCTAGTAGATATCAGCTGAGGAAAAACAAAGGCATTTATATGCAGCCACTTTGGTTCACTGATAGTATCTCCCCTGAATAGTGGGTGAGGTAAATAACATGACCACTTGGGAGGTGGTGGCATTAAGGCAGGTAGTTCCGGAAAGGATGAGGTAGTAGGTAAACATTTACTAACGTTCTCACTTCTCTCAATGGCTAACAGCTGGTTTCTACTTGAACCCTTTTGTTATGACAAAAAACATGAGCAGTTACTGGCTATATAGCTGCAAGTTATGGGGAAGTAACAGGTGAAACTGGCTATTGAATGGAAGTGAGGTATGCTTTCAGTTTACTATTTTCCTCAATACAGAGATAAACTATATGCTGAAGTACCAATGAATACCCTTATCTGAGAATTTTGTTAGACTATCCTAGCATATATACCATCTCTGGCTGATGCATTTGTTCCCAGTGTTACATTCCAGATTAATCCTATGCCATGTATTCAAGGTGTTCTGGACTGTAATTTTAGCATGATCCCTTTCTAAACAGATGGTTCTCTAGATCGTCCCACCCATTTTGTGATATTTCACCACACTGATGCAACCTTACCAGACTCTTGCACAACATCACCACAGAAGAAAGATTTATTGTCAAGTGGTGATGCTGGCTTGGTGCCTGCATTGACCACCCACTGCAAGTGAGCTGTAATCAAGTGAAGCTGCTTCTGGTCTTAGTTATTCCCACTCACTACCACTTGGACAAGGACATTCCTTATAAAAGCTTCCTGCTCTTACTCCACCACGCCTTTTCCTCTCATTCAAATTCCTATTCTGGTACAGCTAAGGTTCTTGAGGAACCTCTATCCGCTTTCCAGAACTTGGTCATCAGAGTTTACCCCTACGCTGCTGTCTGGGAGTAAAAATAAAGTAGGGAATGGACCAGGAATAAAGCAGCTATCACTAACTGGAATCGGAGCAAATGCAGTATGCTATTTCCTTAGAATGCACAACTTATGCTGCGTTCTTACCTTCCTGATACTTAGGCCTGCCAGTGGCACCTAGTGATCATTTACTTTTTTCTCCCCCAGGTTATGTTGAAGGTTAATAACATTGCAGATCCCTGATTAGCCTCAATATAACTAAAATAACATGTAGCCTCTCCATTAAAGACATCACAATGAAAATATTCATTAGGCCCTTATTTGAACCTGATATAATAATGCTACTGAAAGGGACGATGTACATTATAGATGTGATAAACGTGAAGGAAATACATAGTAGCAACGCATTTGTATCACCAAAATGCTAAAATAGTGGATGAACAAATACTTAACTCTTAGCTGTTTTATAGATTAGCAACGCCAGCTACCCAGAATTCAATCACTATCCTTTGCTTTCTCTGGTCTATACCTCTTTCACATCTAAAATCTGGCCTGAGGAAAACAATGAAACTTGGTGCTGTACCAAACCTTAGTTCTCTGACTGAGCTGCCATTGTTACTGGAAAGGGTGTGGGGCCAAAGGCCTGGTAGGGAGTGGGCTGGGCCTGGTGTGGGCAAGATTAGCGCCATCACATGCCTGGGTGGAGTGTCTGCTTACCTAGGGTTGGTTCTTGTTCTTAGCCCCCCCAAGGCATTGGCAGGAGAGAAACAGGAAGGGAAGGGCTAAAATAAGCATGGTGGTGGTTGGATGGCTGCACTGGCAAGGCTACATGCATTGTCTTGATAACTGCCCAGGGGTCCAGAGTAGGAAGGAGCATTTATTTCCTTCTCCAGGTGGCCTGCTAATAACCCAACATGGGTGTTCTGTCTGGTACAACATGCCCTAAGGAATTGTGGCTACTCCTGAGGATACTTTCTTATTGGTAAGATGTGTGTAACACTGGGGACAGATGGGCCAATGAAGAAACATACCAGCTATGGCTGAAATTCATGTGTATCATACAACTGCCACATCATTCAATTCAATATGTGTCTACATGCTGTCAATATGTGTCGACATTCATTTATTAGTGAACAACACAAAGACCAAAGATGTTGCCCTTTTGGAGCTTACAGTTTAGAGAGGAGAGAGATAAATTGCTAGAAGGTAGTAAGTGCTATGGAAAATAAAATATTTTAAGGGGATTTAGGAGTGCAGGGGATGGTGGTGGGTATTGCCGTTTAAATAGGAAAATCATTATGGTCTCATTTGGTTGTGTGTGTGTGTGTGTGAGAGAGAGAGATGTCTTGTAAAAAAGTCAAAAGCCTGATAGTATCCAGAGTTAGGGAAGGTATAGGGAAATGGGCACGCTGTTGGGTAGGTTTGCTGGTACAGCTCTTTTAGAGGGATATTTTGTAGTTTTTAATATTTTATACTATTTTCTAAAAATATGCACATTTTCTTTGATGTAAACATTGTACTTCTAGTAATGAACCCTAAAGGAACAAAGCACAAGTGTATAAAGATACAGGAATAAGAAGGTTCGTTAAAGCACTGCATTGAATAGCAAAATGTTCAGCAATGGGTAAATCTAAATGTTCAGCAATATGACAAACGTTAAGTTATGGAACAGCAATACCATGGAATACTGTGCCTGATTTTAAAATGAAAGATGGTCAAGGCATATTTTAAGAAAAAAACATTAAACTGCAGAAATAAAATTCTTACACTAATAGAACCCAAACTTTTACTGCTTAGAGAATGCAGTATCAATAATTTTTTGAAGCTCTTGGTCTGGGTAATTGGAAAATAACCTGCTGCTTTCCCTTTCCCCCATAGTTTCTTTAGTTTGGAATTTCTCCTAGAGATAATGGTTTTAGACGGATAGTGCGTTTCAAAGTCATGACAAAGTAAGCAAACCTGTCATAGCCATTTAAGGTGGATGCCTAAAATTAATCCAGAAGAATCTGGAAGGAAACTAAATCTTTGTCATGAAATATTTTACTAAGCTGTAGGAGTGAGAGTTGAAAGACACAAGTCTAGGAAGGACTATAATCAATCATATACATGTTGATAAGTTAATCATACAACTTGGACAAATTAAAAATCTCTAAGGTGATTTAGTATGGTAATCAAAATTATGGGTGTGGGGCTGGACAAGAGCACTAAAGCATGCTTCTGAACCTTGAGAATATATATCAGTGGTTCTCAAGTTTTATGCTTGCAAAAACCCGGAGATTTTGAAAAACTAGGTGGAACAACTAGGTACCCCTTTACACATTTCTAAATTGACATGTAAATTTATCATAAGTTTAAATAGTTATAAAGGATATAATTTTTGGCATATTTAACAATAACATCAGTCTTTTAAAAATGTACCCAATATAATCCAAATATAGCAATTTGGTAGCTACACCATCATCCATCAATTTTAAAAAATGAATTTATTTTTTAATCAGATTTTATATCTTTTTTCTCCCAGTTCTATTTCCAGTCCACTTTATTTTAATGTTATATATTTTCATGCTTCAACATAGTAATCATCCTACCATATTTCTCTGCTACAAAAATGTTTACAAATTTAAAATTTTCTGGATTGAGTTACTACAAGTAGTGAAAAACTGATCAAAACAAATCACACATTAGCTACTGAACATAAAAAATAAAGTTAATAGCCATATATGTTAAGAAGGACAGAGCTTTGGATGTAAGTGCTGGACAGTAAAGACAAGTAGAAAAGGATGCTCTTTTTGGCGATAGGGAATTATTCTTTCAGAGTAGAAAGTAAATGTCATATAAGAGGAGGAATTTGAAATCATATGTGCCTGTGCAAACATTTTTTCTTGCATCAAACATACTAAATGATGTGTCAGCCACAGCTAAATGAGGGAGATACAGTGGATGAGAACCAGTTCTTGAAGAATTTGGGGAAGGTGAGATGGGGGCAGAGACACACGTAAATAAATAGTTAGTCGAACAAAACATTCTTTAATAAAAACAATCTATTGTGCTTTAAGAAACCAAAACCATGAGTGACTTGGTTCAGGATAGGTGACAGTGGCTGGTCTCTGAAGATGTACTAAACGTGATATTGGAACTAGTCCCAGAAGGATGAATGGGGATTTTATTACAAAGAGAAGCAACTGTGTAACAAGGGGAGGGTGTTCTAGACAAAGTGAAAAATATGCTCAAAGAAAGAAGCAATGAAAAAAAAAAAAAGCCGGAGGGAATGGTTAGAGTAGTGTTCGTACTGTGGTGGGACTAGCTAGGTGGAGGCCAGTTCATGCTCAGCCTTGAATGCCATGCATGCCTCGAGAGTTTGAACTTTATATCCTATACACAGGAGGGAGCTAATTGGATGGCTGAGTGGGTTCCTGATGTGATTCAGTTTTTGGAAACCCATTCTAGACAAAAATGAAAAACAGAAGAGGCACTAGAGGCAAGGAGATTAGTAAGCTATAATTGTTTAGGTATGATGATCAGGATATGAACAAAAGCAGTGATGACAGGCATTAATAAAAGATATAAGAGGTATTCAAGGATATACGAAATTGAGATTCAAACCTCCACGACCACTCCCCTGGCCCTCCCCACCCCCCTCTGGGTGGTAAGAAAATGACTAAGGATGACAGAGATTTCAAGCTGCATGTTTTGAGTGGATGGTGCAGGTATTAATTTAAGTTGGGAACACAGGAACAGGTTAGGAAGGAAGGGGAAGACCATGAGTTAGGTTCAGACCCCCTGAGTGTGGGAGTCCAGTAGGAGGTAAAAAGGACTGGGGCCAGAGCCAG